TCTGTCATTTGAAACTGACAGAACATGTACTCTGTCAAGAAATTGAACATTTATAAATATATAAACAAATTACATATATGATATAACTGTGCCCACAATTGGATCTGCAGTTTAGAAAATAGATGGATGGACGACAGCTGTTTGTGCCATTTTCTGGCATGGTGTGTCACTGGAATTAATGAGCATGACCCTCACAGCTCATAATGATTTTCCAGCCATAGAGTGTACAGTTGTACAGGAAATCTGCAAAACAAAATCACAACACCTCTTTTTTTCCAATTTGTTATTCATTTTCTTTCAGCTTAGTCTCTACTTTGAGTTATCACAGCAGAATGAACTCCTAACTATTCCAGCATATGTTTTACGCAGTAGATGCCCTTCTAGCTGCAATCCAGTATAGGAAAACACCCATACTCACCCATTCACACACACTTATACACTACGAACACTTTAGCTTATCCACTTTACTTATAGCACATGTATTTGGACTGTGGGGGAAACCAGCACCCTGAGGAAACCCACGCAAACTCAGGGAGAACATGGAAACTCCACACAGAAATGCCATCTGGTCCAGCCGGGACTCAGACCAGTAACCTTCTTACTGTGAGGTAACAGTGCTAATCACTGAGCCATCATGCCATCAAACTTGTTATGTTACAGCCCTATAAATGAATTAAATTCATTAATTTCCTCAAAAATAACCTGGTGGCTTGCTCTAGGAGAGTTCTGGTGGTTCCAAACTTCTTCCATGTACAGATGATTGAGGCCACTGTGCTCACTGGGACCTTCAATACTGCAAAGTCCAGACATTTTTCTGTACCCTTCCCCTAATTTGTGCCATGATGCAGTCCTTTATTGATGGTCTACTATGGACAATTCCTTGGCACTTGAATTGGTTTATGTTCTGACATGCACTGTTAAGTGTGGGACCTTATATAGACAGTTGTGTGCATTGCCCTATATATACACTGTATGTAAATTTATGTATAGACAATTTAGCTTACCCAATTCACCTATAGCTCATATCACACAGAGGAAACCCACGCGAACACAGGGAAAACATGCAAACTCCACTTAAACCAGTTACCTTCTTGCTGTGAGGCAACAGTGCTACCCACTGCTCCACCGCACCACCTTACATAAATTTTTATGTATTTAAATGTTACATTTCTTTCATTTTATCATCATGTGGTATTGTTTGCTCTGAGGATTCCGAATTGTGAGGAACATTATAGATTTTTAGAATAAGGCTGTAACAACAAAATGTGGAAAAACTGAAGCTCTGCATAGAATTTCTGAATGCACTGTATATTTGGTTTTGTGCTTTATTTTTTATTTGTCATAAAATAATAATGTTACATTTGGCATTTTTAAGTAACACAAGCATATCTGTGGCTAAAGCTCTAATCAGTACACTTATTCATCCAGATTATTTGACTTTTGTATTCCCTACAGCAGCGTTGTTCACTATATATCTGTAGTTTTGCAGCAGAAAGACTTGTTTTTAATTTTTTGGTGTCTGTTGAAAGTAATTTGTTAATTGTGGTTAACTGGCTTTTAATATGCTTTATGTTTTTCAGCCAATAATAAACTTCCAGTGAAAGGACGAAAGACGAGAGATGAAAGACTTTTTTCGCAGGCGCCATCAGGCTAGCGTTGAAAATACTTAAAGATAAAGTTTAACTTAAAGATAAAGTTTAATGCAGTGCTTCTTGTTTGGTTTTGTTTACCCACTTCATTTCGTATTTCAGCCAGGCAGTGATGAACGCTCTTTAAAAGAAGTCAGGTCTTAAATGCAGCAATTTTGTATGGGATGAAGTTCTGGGGCTGGCTAACTGTACAGTACCCCATACTAGACAGATTATCAGTGAGGAGAATAGTGACTAATTTTACCAGGTTAAAGAACAACCAATTTTTACTTATTGTTTGCAGTTTAACAGATGTTATTGCCATAATTCCTGCAATCTTCTTGTGGGTACAGAAAAAAATTTGAATATATTCATGATAAACAAAATATTTGTGACCCTGGAGCAAATTGTGCTGTAAACATATCAATACTTAATTTTTTGGACAATAATAGCTATTGCCAAGAACCATTTTTTAAACCTTCAAATACCAGATTTTCAAATAGTTGAATCAAATACTGTCATATCTTAATGTAAAAAAAAAGCATAGTTATGACTGGTTTTATGGTCATATTTGTGAAAGATTTCATGACTGACTTCCTGAGGTATTTTTGTGCGAGAATATAGGTGTGTTCAATTCATGCATTTTTTACTGCTGTTCTGCCCACAAGGAGGGGCCAAGTTTTAATTTTGTATTACAAATAGGAGAAAACTTTTTCTTCTTTCACCTTAAAACGGTTTTACACTGTTAAATCTAGCATAACCTTTACAGAAATAAATACAATTGCATACGAAGTGAGTTTCCATGAGAACTGATAATTCATCATTAGTTCATCATGTTTGCATCTGACAAACATACATCCTTTTCACCTCATGTTATCTACTCCTGTAGTCCAATAAAATCACTCAGTCTGTTATAATCCCACGTTTATCTCTCTTTGTATGTTTGAGGTAACTGATAACTGACTGGACTAATCTTTTTTTTAGTTACCATGTTAAAAACTCAACTGGTCTCCGATAGGCTGTGAACTGAACTCCGCATAACCTTAGTTCTTCATCCATAAAGCCAACAAGAGCTAATGATGGAAGACATCTAATGAAGACAAGTAAACACTCTTTCAACTCCCACTGTTACTGGCTTTCAACTTCGTGTGAACTATATGAGCATCAAGGATGGATGTTCTACAAAGCCATAGATCATAGATGAAATGCTGCTTGTGGCTGATTTTAAATAAACAGCGACTATCGAGAATAAATCAAAGAAATTAGTTTTCACATGCTATCCAACCAAGGAAAATAAAACCTCAAATTGTTGGTCTTGTGGTTTGTTCATGTACATTTACGGGTTTAGCAGACGCTTTTACAAGAAACTTAGAAGTGAAGATAAAAGAATCACTTCGAATCATTATGTAATTAAACTCAATTCTCTCATAATCTCAGAGAATGCTTGCTGCACATGAAAATGTCTAAAATATTATTAAATAAAGACTTTTTCAGAAAAATAACAGGATATTCTTAAAGATAAGAATAGGCTGATTACAAATAGCTATTGTAATTATTACTCAGAATTAATTGTATGTACACACTGTAGACACTGGCCTTAGGATGTTAGGATAGATGGGACCCATAATTTATAAATATATGGAAGAAAAGTGAATATCTAATTTATACTAAAAGTTTAGGCTGCCTATATACACTACAGAACTCTTGTTGTCAATCCCTTTTGTAAGAGCAGCAAATAATAACTCAACTTCTAGTTGATCATTTGGAACAGTGTCAGAAGGTAGATTTTTCTGATGAATCATCTGTTGAACTGCATCCCAACCATAATGCAGAAAACCTATTGGAACCCACATGGACCCAAGATTCTTACAGAAATCAGTCGAGTTTGGTGAAGGAAAAATCATGGTTTGGGGTTACATTCAATATGGCGTACGAGAAATATGCAGAGTGGAGGCAACATCAACAGCCTGAGGTAAAGACATTTGTGTTCCTAAAACGTGGATAGGCGACAAGACTTTTGTCAGGTAGGTTTTTTGTTTGGTGAATTAAATTGATATTTTTTAACATACTAACAATTATTCATTCACTTCTTTTCGGCTTATGCCCTTTATTAATCTGGGGTCGCCACAGCAGAATGAACCACCAACTTATCCAGCATATGTTTTATGCAGCAGATGCCCTTTCAGCTGCAACTCATCACTGGAAAACATTCATACATACTCATTCGCACACATACACTACGGACAATTTAGCTTACCCAATTCACCCATTCCACGTGTCTTTGGACTTGAGGGGGAAACTGGAGCACCCGGAGGAAACCCATGCAAACTCCACACAGAAACGCCAACTGACCCAGCCGAGGCTCTAACCAGTGACCTTTTTGCTGTGAGGCGATCGTGCTACCCACTGCACCACCATGCAGCCCAATCGTACTGACAGATTTTCTTTATTTAAATATAAACTTGTCTTATACCTTTTTCAGAAAACATATTGATATGCAAGTCATTTTGCTTAAGTAAAGATTTTTGTTTGTAGATATACAAATTAACAAAGTGTTTGTGAATAACTTTCTATGGGTGTTTCTCAGTACTGGGTTGCGGCTGGAAGGTCATCAGCTGCATAAAACATATACTGGAATATGGCAGCTCATTCCGCTCAGGCTACCTCTGAAATAGAGACTAAGGAAAATTAATGAATTTTTTATACCTTTTTTAGAAACTTGATGTGAAAGTCATTTTACTTACAGTTATTTCTTGTTAGATAGGAATTAATTTTTAATTATTTACCAAATGTATTCACTTGATAAAACTAAGCCTATTTTACTGCAATAGAGCAATTCCACGCTTTCACCAAAAACAAAAACTGTTTCTAAGCATTTTGTTTAAGCAAGTATTTTACAGTACTTTAGAAATACTCAAAAATGTCTCTGTCAATGTTTTAACTATTATATTTGATTTAACAAAGTCACACAAGTGGGAATTTCACATCTGTCACATCCATAACGAAGTAATGACACATCCACATTACTTTCTCCTCATAAATGCAAAAATATTAAATAAAATAAAATCAATCATGTTTGTTCTATAGTGAGCCATTCTTTTGATGAGCATTATTTTTTTTGGGATTGTGCAGTTTAAGTCAGAATTTCTACAAAGCATGTTGTATACTGTAAACTTGCATACTTTTTTGGACACATCCATATCACATATTTATTTCTCTCATTTAAAGTACAAAACATGTTTACATATTGATATTTTTCTGATCCCTTAACTCTGTTTTACACAGATGCCCTTCCAGCTGCAACCTATCTCTGGGAAACATCCATACACACTCAACCAGCGTCCTTCTTGCTGTGAGGCGACAGCACTACCTACTGCGCCACCACGTCACCACAGGTATTTCAAAATAATGTTACCATAAAATTTCTCTGTGAATTTAGGTTTTGAGTTTTTTTACTGCAAATGTCACATCCATAATGCTAGAATTGCTCAATAACAACCGTCGTTGACAGATAATGTATGAATACAGGAAGAAACGACTTCTTTTTCTCTGACTGTAAAACGCTTATCGTGCACTAGTTTTAACACAGTGACAGTTACAACGAAAATAAAATTAAATGTATGTAAGTATAACTAAATCACATAATTAAAGCACAGACTTGCACAGTCACATTTACCAAAAATCCACAGCAAACATTCTGTGGTGTAGCAGAGCACATGTTCCAGCGTAAAATCCCCCTTCCACTAGTTATGTCATGATGCATCATCTTCACAACTGTGCAGCCTTTTTTGCCTGAAATATTAAACAGCAGAGCACGCCCACTTGGGAAAACCAGGTGTGTCTCAGGAAAAATCCCCGCCCACTTGACCGTATATGGGCACAATACGGGAAGTTGATTGACAGCGGGCAGCAGCTGCTGAGATACCGAGACATGGCGGAGCGTACAGTTTGAGTAGGTTCGCAAGAAGAGTTGTGCTACTTTCCCTCTCACTTGTGTCCTCACCGCGCAAAATAAATGGCCAAGAAGAAACTATAAACGCAGACGAACATGCTCTCCTCGGAAGCGCAGGGGGAAAATGGACGAAGTTGCTTCGCGTAAGTGAACCGGAGAAATGTCTCGCTGTTTAGTGCAGTCAACAGCCTCGGGCAACAAACATGGCTTCTGTGCCTTTCTGCTGTTTGTAATAAAAACCCGCTTCGTTGAGCCATCGAGTCTCATGGCGCCGTGGCTCAAATCCTACAAGTGAGCGGATAGAGTGAAGTTCCTGCTGCGTTCATCGGGATTGTGTGGCGGAATTGGCGATAGCACTGAGCTAGCTAGTTAGCTAAGGAACTGTAGGAACTGCAATGGAGCCCAAGCACAAAGAGTTACTCCACCAGTGCCACCAGAACTTGCTGGAGTCCATCACGGATGCTGACCGGCTGATTGAGCTGCTGAGTAAATCGGGAAGCCTCAGCGAGCAGGAAGCGTTCGAGCTGGACCAGAACTGCTCCTCCAGCGCAGAGAAAGTGGAGCAGCTCCTGAAGATGCTCATGAACAAGCAGAGCGACCATTTCCTGGAGCTCTGTGTGGCCCTGGAGAAGACATACCCTCACCTGTACTCTGCCCTTTTCTCCAACGGTGGAGGACCAGCCGATCATCACTCTGGTAAGTAAGATACAGGGATGAGTAGACGTGCTTATGAACGCATGAGGCTTGATGGAGGTTTTGAACCAACACGGATGTTTGGTGGTCTTGTTTCTTCTAGAGATGGATCTGAAAGTCCTTGGAGATGCTAAACATTAGTTGTAGTATAATTTACGTGTGTGTAATATGCACAGTGCGGGATCTGAATTCTCTCTTGCATGCATCATTAGGTATTTGCATAGATGATGAGGTCATGCTTTTGTGCAGAGGATGCTTCAATGCCAAGATGCAACACTGTTTCTTCATGGCGCCAACAGTTAATGGTGCTTTCTGTTACATTTTTAGCTTTGGATCGATTTGAAAGTGTTGGAAGAGGTTATTCTAGATTTAAAGGTGAACGTGTCGATCACATTGTTTCATGATGTGTGTTAGATCACAGTTACAAGTCACTAAACCATTGTGTTTTTCAAACTTTTTACACATCAAAACATAGTGGTCCTCATGCAATGGACCTCTTAAAATTCTTAACTATAGGCAACTCTATAGTTTCTTGTATAAAGAGGGAATATGTAGTTCATAGGCTACATATTATATATGTATTTCAGTCATGTTTTTAATTATTTATTTGATTCATGTTTAGTTAGGTTTGGGAGTCAGAAAATCAAGTTCAGATGTCCACTTGATAATTATTTGTAAACTCTTATTATAAATTCTTGATTTTATTATTTAAATGGAAAAAGTTTGCTAATAAGAACGAATAAAAATAAATAAAAAAGTCTACAGACCTGTGTATTGTTTTTGTTAATTTAAACTCTTGTATATAAAAATATGGAATATAGTATTTGTAAAAAAAGTATTTATAACTTCAATATTTGATATTGAGTCTTGTTCAAAATGGTTAATTGAAGTCTTTGTCATAAGCCCTGTATTTTAGTAATTAAAGTGGTTATTGTCTTGTTTATGTTGGTAATGTGTTTAACATTTAAAATTAAGTATTATGTTAATTTATAAATCTAATTATTTCTAAATGAGTTTAATGCATTTTATTTGCATTAACATGCATTAAATATGCAAAATGCATTAACATGCCATTGCATTGGGGGTCTCCCATTTTGAAACTTGCTTAACATTCTAGAATATGTTCAGTATAGACATAAGCCCTGTTCAGCCGAGAGTAGTTTTATAGGGTATTGGAATTTCTGTTTCACATATGTACTTTTAAAATTTTAATCCCATCTGAATCAGCCATTTCTGTGTCATGTCTCAGACAACCTTTGTAAAAATTCCAGAGGAAATTTCCTCTTTTTTTAAGGCAAACTTTGGGGTCTTTTGAGAAATCCAATCCCATTAAAAAGTGATTGTCTGCTGATTTTTTTTTATTCCACGCGAACCACCATACAATCTCTCGATAGCATGTTTTTATTCAAGTTTCTGCTTTCTGAGCACCAGAAATGGATGTATGTGTTTGTTACCATGAAATAGAAATTTAAATTATACAAAATAAACCTATTAAGACTGGGTTCAGTAAGGTAAAATTACTTTCCTTTCAACACTCCGTTATTTAATAATGTGTTAAAATGGTTTTATTTCAGTGGATTTTATTAATATTATTATTATTATTATTATTATTATTATTATTATTGATATTATTATTTTGTTTACCAAAAGCAAAATATATTTGTTTGTTTATTTTTTTTTACAAAACACTAAATAAGTTATGTTTTGCTTTATAATTCAAAGGGCTTAAATATAAAACCACTTATTTAATTTCCACATGCATTTAATCACATTTGATAAGTAATGTTAAACAATGAAAATGTGTAAGTTCTGTTACTGAAATGTATGTTTTTATAGATTAACTTCATCTACACTCGTACTTCAATATTAAATATATATCGATTTTAGTCAGGTCCAAGTGGATGCATGAAGTCACAGACATTAGATGGAAAAAAATTAGGAATCAAGTGTGTGATCTTGTGCATAACATGTCTTTATATTTACATTGTTTATGAGGTCATATTGGTGATGCAATGGTGTAGCACAATGGTTTCAGTTATATTAGCTTTTGGATCAATAGGAGAGTACTGGAATTGATCACTCTGGGAATAAGGTTAAAGGACTGGGAGGTAAACATGTCATCATCCTTGATACGTGATGAGAATCAGATTATACATGCTTTGACATCTGAAATAGATTGACATATTTTTAATACATACTGTTTGCGAGTGGATTGCCTTATATTGTGTATTTACATTGCAACATTGACCAGATGAAACCTCTTGGCAGGTGAAGATTTTGACCCCATTTATACTATTGTAGCATCTGCTTGTGATTTTAGTTACAGATGAAAATTCAATCCAGGTGTAAACCAGGTTAAAAGGATAGTTAAACCAAAAATACATTTTCTTCACACAAACACAAAGCAAGATTTTCTAAATAATGTTGGTTTGAAAGCAGTCATTGAAATACATGGTAAAAAAAAAAAAAAAATCCTATTATTAAAGTATCATTTTTGGGCTGATTATCCAGTACTCATTTAAATAGATGTTTGGCGAGTTATGTCTAATGTAGAAGCAGTTGTTCGAGATGTTTTTAGACGTATGCATGCAGATATAATTATTTTTTTTTTTTGCATGTGCATTGATAATGTGATTAAAACATTTTTTGTAAGTTGGATGATAAGAGGATTATGTGATGAAATTGTTTGCATGGTGGTTTCGGTTATTTTTAGCTTTGGATCAATAGACAAGTGCTGGAATTGACTGAAGTCACTGGCAAGAAGGATAGAGGATTGGGAGGTGAACATGCCCTTTATGCTTGATTCATGATGTGGATCAGTGCGCCCTTTAAAACTTGTGTTTGATTTCTTTTAGATGAATGTAAAGATGAAGCAGATGATGGAGTCTTTTATTTTGGTGGATAAACTTGACTGAAGTGAACTTTTGTGTGTATGGTTGAACCACAACCTGAACCACACTGTTCCAGTTACTATGACCATTTATGTGAAGCTGCTTGGACACAATCTACATTGTAAAAGCGCTATACAAATAAAGCTGAATTGAATTGAATTGAATGGTTGCTTGAATGCATCTATATGACCCTTAAAATAAGTCACTTTTTAGTGGAAGCCAAAATTATCTGAATTTGGACTTTTAGTTTTAAGGGTCTGTTTACACTTTTAATTAAAATGAACTTTTTCAGGGTTCATAAGTTGGAAAAACCTGGAAAAGTCATGGAATTTTAATATGGCATTTTCCAGGCCTGGAAAAGTTTTGGAAAAAACAGAAAAACCCACAAAGTTTTGGAAAAGGTATGGAAAACAGATATCTCTATACTTGAATATAGGTTATTTGCTTCTTTTCTGTCCTTGCCCAATCATATACTCTCACATTATTAGTGCGGTGTAAGCAGTATCTAAATCAGTTTTACATAGAAATAAATTTACACTGAAACTAAATAGATTGTTGCGTGTTTTACGATATGCTGTAATAAAATTGAACATGCATTGTTTTTCTTTTACCACGCATATGTAAACATTGCATGAAACATTAGGTCATGAAAATTTACTTGAAAGGCTTGAAAAAATCATGGAAAAGTTGTGAAAAGTTTAGTAGTAAAAATGTGTATGAACCCTATTTTTTGCTTTAGTATGGTGTTTATATCAGTCATTAAGTACATTTACATATACCAGTAATCTGATTTTAAAGCCTTCGAAGTTTTGTGTTTTATTGTTCCGAAGGTATATGTAAAGTTTTATATATATATATATATATATATATATATATATATATATATATATATATATATATATATATATATATATATATATATATATATATACACACATGTTTTTCACAACCATTTTATCTATTTATTTTTTTACGGCAACAGTATCTTCAGCAGAAAAGAAAAAAGCTACTGGTTGTAAATATATCCTAAAATAAAATATATTGTGTTCAATGTGGGGAAAAAGTTGTTTATACCCAGATATTAAAAAAAAAAGAACTTATTTTAGAGCAGTATTCTGAATACTGTAAAACCATGCTATTTTTATCCTAGGTTATTATACCGTCAGAATCTTATATGGCCCATGCCTAGTACAGACATGTAAACATCTTAATCAAACTATACCGTCGTGTAGGATTTTTGCTGCATTTTGCGAAAGAATAGTCTGTACACACAAGGCTGTTTGATACTATTCTCTGCACCTACCCAGTCGGCGAAGGACAACAGACACGCACATTAAGAAACGCTAAGTTTTTTTTTTTTTGTCTCATACGACGGGCTATATCAAATTCCATTAAAACAACAGTCTTTCAGCAGTTTAAACTCTCATCCAATGTCTCGTTTGTCACGGGGGGCACACATGAAATGTTCTTGAATAAAAGTGAAGATATCAAACTGCAAAATTTTACCTTAATCAAATTACAGTATGTGCTACAACATGTAAAACGGAATCATGAAAGGAACATTCAAAAAGCAACTCGTGTAAACACCTTAATCATTTTATTGTCTTATTCAAATTAAGGCAAATAATTAGATTACTAATGTCCATGTAAACAAAGTCGTTGTTAAGGCTAGCATTTGAACCCTGATGGTCACCAAACTATTGGAGCCAATAGGTTTCTGACGTTTTGTATATATTTTGCAACATTTTCTTTTTGCTTTGAAAAAACAAACCAAGATACCCGAGTATGACATGTCTATGTATTTGCACACATGATAAATATGTTCTTTTATTGCATAAGAGAAAGATGTCTCTTAAATTAACAGTAGTTTACTGCGGATGCTTTAAAGCAATGAATGACGTAATTGTTTTATGACATAATGAACGTGTTGCCTGATGGATCAATGCTAAATAGTTAGGATTTTCCCAGTGAAGGTAGTTGAACAGCAGGGTGGAACAGGGATCTTCTGCAAGTTGAAACGTGCTGTTAAAAAAGTACTATCGATTGGCCCTGTATGCAAAGATCACACTAGGGCTTCTCGTTCAATGCTCCACGTCTTCAAGCTATCACCAG